GTTTAACATACACTTGTTTAACATGCACTTTAACATACACAACTCCAGCTTGAGACGCAGTCCCGCTTCATCGAGAAAATACATATGTTATTATCAGAATGAGGGAAAGCAAACAAACCGAAATATTATTCACACGGAAAGCGACTCAATCGAATAACCGTTATCGTGATGTTCTCCATGAGTAAGCTTTGTGCGCTGATCCTGTTAATAAGAATTATTCAAAAGAGAAGCGACAGCACTCAACCTACACAGAATCAAGCAGAATTTGGAAAGCATCGGCTCCCTGTCGTCCCGCCTGACAAATACCTACGTTCAGTCGCCCAGATAAAGACGTTGCAACACCTTATCCTCACTCTGGAACTTAGTTCTCCAATCCGCATTCCTGCAATACTAACCACAGACTCAAATGAATAACACTGTGCAAACATTTTCCACGAGACAGGCCTAAACCTCCTTCGCACACTCCTAGCATTTTTCGCACAAGGCAGAAAGCAAACCTCTGATGCGCTGTGCGGCAATCAAAACAGTAGCTGATCTATTAGAATATAAGATCAAGAGGAGCGATGCAACTACTGTTTTGAGGCAATCAGAACAGTAGTTGCATCGCTCCTCTTGATCTTGTACTCTAACAGTTCTTCACTATTCTCCAGATATTTACTTACATTTCACTAAGGAAGTTGTTACAGTTTCTTTGGTGGTTTAAAAAACTGAAAAACATATGAAGTCACACCACGCGTGGAAAGTACTCTTTGAAATAAACAACGAGCAAAATCGATCACCCTTAATGCTGCTCCATAAACAAAGCAATTCAAATTCAAATCTCTTGCTTCCTGAACATCTAAGAGTCGTTTTGGTATCTTATTTGCACAAAAGTAGAGCATTGTTAAACAGTTCTTAACTCGCATCAACGGCGTACCGTGGATGACTGTAGATGGATATACGTTCTTATTTAATTATAATTAACACTAGCGCAATATTATGACTAGAAATTGTGCCACAGTTCTAGAGAGGATAAGTTTTCGAGCAGTAACTTAATCAGAATATATAGAATTCAGAAAGCAATAAAATATTCAGCGTACTGATGATTACGGAAAATTTCTATAGAATCCGCCTCACTAGAAAATGGAACTCGAATCTGACAAGTTCCAAAAAATTTGACATTTGAACTACAATCGTATAGAAGATCCCATTCCATTCTGCTTATACAGCGGATTAAACCCTGGCTTCTTAGTCGGTAGAGAGTCGGACTCAGAACTGAGATTCCAGGTTCGAACTCAAGACGGGCCACAAACAGGAGACTACACATTATGTTTGCTACACTGCTGTTATCGATTCTGCCTTTAAAATAAGGAACTCCTAACTTATGGCATAAAATTATGGCTAGATAACCCAACCATTAACTTTATGAAAAGAAGAACACCAGATAAAACCCCATCATGCAAGTGCAAGGAAGACCAACATTCTAACAGTTGCACACCTTTCTCTTCCTTATCATCTGATATACAGGTTTCACTCCAGTTAAAAATTCGCCTGATTACAAAACACAATACCGCAACATACTATCAAATGTGCACTCAACGCCCTCCAACGACGACCGGTGATTAGGATAAAATCTCGCATGGAATCTCAATGTGAAACGACCTGTTGTGTTCGCATTAAATGAGTGCCCGCTTCTGCGACGATCAGCGATTCAGAACAGCAAAAGCAGTAAAAGGAAGTTTCGATGCGATCAACGAACTGTTTACATAAGATAAAAGCAGTCACCGCCCACAAGATTATGCCAAGCATGCCAGCAGCCGGTAACAAGCGCGCTTCAGAAAATCGACGCGCATTTTGCGCAACGGCATCTGCTGCTGAGTGAACTAAACAGACTAAACACGGGTGGGAAAAAGTTACGACTCCTGAAACTCATCACCTGAGTTTCAACTACCATTTGTCGTGCACATTACACAGACGAATTCCTTCCAGATAGGACAAAAGGTTTCGATACAATGTGCAAATAATCATAACTCTGCGACTTTGAAAACTTTATCATAACCCAACAACAAATAATAACCAAACATCAAGACAAGGTAGAGAATCACTACAGAATGTGCCA